AGGTGTCAGGAAGATCTGTGCTTTGGTGTCAATCATTTCTGAAGCAGCTGAAACCCTTTCATAAGGTGTCAGGATCTCTTTTTCAGAAAAAGTGTAGCAAGCCTTGCATCCTTTGCATCCCCAATTCCAGAACACCAGGGCTCATCCTCAAGTCTCCCTGGATACCTTTTGTGGAGACTCCAGGAAGGAGCATTCTTCCCGGCTGCAATATRGAGCATACTTTTCCCATCTTATCCTCTCATGACTGGCCCAAGGGCTACCGCCTGAGCAATCTTTAGGTTTGACTTGTTCAAAAGCTGTTGTTGTACTGATCACACTTTAAATTATTATTGTTCCAGGTCAGTTGAGAGAGAGGTCTTACAGGCTGACTCCAATCTGAAAAATACATCCTCTAAAAATCTATAGTGCCCAGAAAAGCCTGTTTCCTTCTTGCTGGTTGGTGGGGACATAGCTGCTATTTTGTTGACCATATMCATGGGAATCTGACAACACGCACCTTGCCATTTTACTCCTAATATCTCAATTTCCTGGGCAGGTCCCTTGACTTTACTTTGCTCTATGGCAAAACTGGTCTTCAGGAAGATCTGGAATTGCCTCTCCTTTTTCTCAAAAATTTCCTCTGCTGTGTAGCCCCACAGAATAACATCATCAATGTGTTGCAAGTATTCTGGAACCTTGCCTTTTTTCAGTCCGGATCAGTCCATGGCAAATGAGGGGCTGTTTCCACCCCCAGAGCAGTCCATTCCAGATGTATTGGAGTTGTACCTCTAGGTAAAGGCAAACAGTGGCCTGCACTTTGCTGCTAAAGAACTGGAGAAAAATATGTTAGCAATGTCAAAGGTAACACCACTTTGCTGCCTTGGACTCCAGTTCATACTGAAGTGCCAGCATGTGCGTCACAGCAGCACTCACCGCTGCTGTGACTTTGTTTAGACTATGATAGTCTACTGGCAGTCTCCACTCTCCAGTGGATTTACTCACTCTCCACAAAGGATTAATAAAGGGTGAGTGAGTCTTGCTGACCATTCCCTGCCTCTCCAGTAGATGAATCATCTCATGGATGGGGATCATGGAGTCCCAGTTTGTTGCRGTATTGTCAAGGGTACATTGTTGTGGTAGTAATCAATACTTGTTGTTTTTCAACCCTCAGCAGTCCAACAGCAGAAGGGTCCTCTGCCTAATTTCCTCTGTCTCCACAGCAGCCATCCGAAAAGCCCAATGATGCCCTTTTGGGCCCTCGAAAAACCCTCTGCTGAGGTGATTGATGCCAAGGATGTACAGGATCTCTGGACCAGTCACAATTGAGTGTTTTTGCCATTCATTCCCAGTCAGGTTCACCTCAACTACCAGTACAGTCAGCTGTTAGGATCCCCCTGTCACTCCAGAAACAGAGATTGATTCTGCCCTACAGATCTTGATGGCATCAGAGTACACTTGTGCACCAGTGTGAACTAAAGCCTTACACTCATATGAGTCTGATGTGCCAGGCCATGGGACCCACACAGTCCAATAAATCAGACTGTCCCTTTTTTCCACCAGGCTGGAGGTAGAGCTCCTCCTGGTAACAGTACTTGCTGCTAATTTCTTGTATGGAGATCCTTTCAAGGACATTGGAAGTAACATCAGTCCTCCTGTTCTGTCTGAGGATTTACTCACTGGAAACTGGAGCGGCATTTATCCTTGAAGAATTTCCTGCAGTAGTTGAGATTCCTCTCAACTCACATACTGGTGCTGCTAGGACAGAGGTGGGTTTTCCATCCCACTTCCACGTGTCCTCTCCATGGTCATGCAGGTAGAATTACAGGTTACCTTGTGGTGTATACCRTCTCTCTTGAGAAGGGGGATACTTGTTGCTAGTAGCAGAGACTGGGCTGTATTGGCAGGGCATGGAATACTTCTTTAAATTGCTGGTCAACTTCTTTAAATTGCTGGAGGTCCTTGGACAATCTTTCCATGGACAAGATGCAGACCCGCAGGCAGGAAGAGATACTTGCTTCACATAGCTGGAGTTTGGTAGCCATATTATCCACTCTTTCTTCTTCTTTTCATGACAGCAATGCCAATGCAATGAGTTTGTATACAGCAATGGTCCACCTCCTAGAAACTTCCACCATAAGTGGTGTTTCYGTACGCTGGATTTCATCTGGATTTATAGGGAATTGCTTGTTAATTGAATCCTTATAAAGTACATCCAGCACAGCTAATTCTCTTAAGTACTGGACACCTTTTGCCATGGTGTTCCACTCATTTCAGTGCACTAACAGATCACCCTTGTTAAGATACAAGATACTCCTTATTCTTGACAGGAGTCACTTGCAGAGGCTGAGAGTTTCTGAGTCCTCTTCCCAATCTCTCTGTCAATGTACACATCCCAGAACAGGCATCCCTGTTCCTTGGCTTCACTACCACCTGGTTTAATACCATGGGCCACAATATCACAGCATCAAACCAGCCATGTCACCAGGGGCTCACCCAGCTCATGACTGAAACCTTTACCCACATCTCACAGCTCACCCAGGGACAGGGATCAGGTGATTATCTCTGGCYCTGCCTCTTCCTCTTCTTGGGGGCTGCCCTACTGTCTCTTCATCCCTTGTTATGCCAGCTGATTTGGTCYTGGATTTCTTCTTCTGAACAGGGGCAACTACTGTCAGCACATGCTGTTCCTCTGGTTCAGCTGCAGTTTGAGTGGCCACAATGCCTGTTGATCTGCTTTCCTTCTCTTCCCCCTGAGGGTGCCATCTGGTATTGAGCAACGTTTGATAAATACCAGCCAGAGCCCAGCACATTGCATAACTTCATGCCTCTCTGGAACTGTCACAGCATTTTTCTTCTCCATATTTTATCATTTTAACAGAATCCTGTAGTTSTTCAGGGGTGAACTTACAAACCATTGGAACAGTATAGTCCTTCAAAATCCAGCCCTTTTTCTTCTACTTTCCATGCTACTCATGACTACCCACCCTTAGGGCAGATCTCTGAAAAACCCTCCTAAAAATCTACTGTAATTCTAAACATAGTGTGGACGACACTGGAGAGCTGGCAGACCTAGCCACAAGAATATGCTTTCCCAAATATTCAAGAGGAATTAAAAAACCGTTGCAATAGGTCTGAAGAAGGAAAAGCACATGAAAAGCTGGGGAAAATCATTCTCCCCCATTCCCCTCACAAACTGGGTACRATTAGTAATGGACTCCCAGAGCAGTGCTGAGGTAAGGGCAGGAGAGCAGCACTCAATACACATCCCAAATAACCCTCACTGCCCTTGCCGTTACCRTATCATAAATTGATATCACATAGTACATCAACAAAACAATCCTGATCCCTCTCCCTGATATGAAAAACATCACAAGGTATGAGAATATATACAGAGTTAGGTACCACAGCCACATGGACAAATCAAGCAACATTGTGACCAGAGGGTCTGGACCCAATGCAACGAATGCTTAGATCAAATTTGAATCCAACCCACTCTAGGCAGACCTGTTGATATCTCAATCCTTTGTGCCTCACACTGGGTGCCAAATAAGGCTGTTGTGGTTTAGGAAAGGTGTTCTTGAATTTAGTGTTCCCACTTGTCATGGTTTGAATGAATTTAATGGGAGCAAAATACTCCCAAGTTCCAGCAAACCTCCCCCCCTCTCTTTTCCCCACCCGGGTCCTAGAGACAAACCTTTCCACAGAGAGTAAAGTGAAAAAAAAAAGGGAAAAAAAACTGTTTATTTAAAATTATAAAAACAAAAAGAAAAACCTGTGGAATCAGCTGTTAGATCCCAAAGCCTTTCTCTTCCCTCCTGGGAATAGCTTCCCCTCCGGGGCCCCCAGAGGGGTTGGACAGAGTCTCTCTCCGGAGGTTCACTGAAGGATCTTTCTCGCCTGTCGTGCCACGAGAATCCTCCAATTCTCAGATGACAATGAAAAAAAAAAAAATTCGAGAAAAAACAAGTCCAAAGAAAGGGAGAAAAAAGGAGCAGTCCCAGAGAGCAGGGAGCTTCTTTTCCATCGCTGATCACGAGCCTCCCCGGAAAAAAAAAAAAAAGTCCCTTTCCCTCCCATTGTCCTTGAAGGGAGGAACATCACCAAAACAAACCAGAGCAGTCTCGACTAATGTATAGTTACAGAAGGGTTGTTTAACTTTCCTCTAACATAAGCAGATGATAGGAATACAATACTCAGCTAACCTAGGASACCACTGAAACTCTCCAAACTACACACACTACTCGATCACTACCCTTCTCCCCTGCAGCAGGGTGGAGAGGATAATTGAAGGCACAAATAGTAACAGCAACAATACAAATGACCAGAGGGTACAAGTGAAAAAAAATCCTGACAATTCAGACATGATTGTTAACAGACTTCTCCTCTTCTTCCTCCTCCCTACACCCCAGAAATCCCAGCAATATTCAAGCACTCCCTCTGCCATGCTACCCAAYCCAAAAGGAAGCCCTTCCCTGGTCCCTGAAAAATGACATGAGGCAGTACAGAATAACCTTTGGGAACTAACCATGCCCCCCTCCAGCTACTGCAAAAATTAACCCTATGCTGGCTGGACATAGAACATTATCCATCCCTTATTTGGTATTGCACCTTTTTAGTGCCAGAACAATTTAGAATTTTTTAGGTATTTTCTTTATAGCAGATAGTTTTACAAATGTGCACACTGCCTGACAAATGACAGGACAAGATATTTAATGCCAAATTACAAATACTCCCCAAAGTAATCTTTATAAAGAAAACAGCAATACARGCCTTATTAGACTTGGTGATGTTATAAAATGAGAAGGCTGAGAGCAATTGTTTCTAAAACCTTCCAGTCTAAGTTTWACAAGAATTTTTATTAATAGGAAAGCCACAGATGATAATCAAATCAACCCAATAATGTATTCAGTAGTATTTCCAAGTATTTCCTCAATTAATTTTCTTCACMAGAACACAAAACAGATCAGAGACTGTAAACTAAATGTCACATCAACAGATTTGCATTCCAGCAATTAACTCACCATAATATCTCCCTTCAAAAGCTGGGCAGGGTCTATAGCAATGCAGATTCGACTTTGATTTTCTGACCCTATGCTACTTAACAGGAGAGAGAAGAAAAATAAAATACATGTTTTAAAGACATAAAAACATAAAAAAGAAACCCACAAACAAAACTAAAAAAGACTATGTAATTCTGCAGTCATGAAAATTAAAACCTATATTCAAACATAATGGAATGTGTTTACAACTTACTATATTCCAGATGTATAAACTGGTTGCATAGCTTGGTATAACTTCAGAAAAGGCCAACAAGCTGAAAAGAAGCCAACAGCAAAGTGTGTTTTATGATATTCAGATATAGGAAAACAATTACAGCCAGAAAGCTTCACTCACATCCAGACTGAGCAAAGCAGCATGTAAATGGCAATGCTATCAAAATACCCTTGAAAGCAAAACTGGCTAAAATAGTATTTTATCTTATTTTATTTTATGAAAAAGACACTTTTTCCTGATTGACAGATTTGTTTTGAATTCAATAGGGAGTGACTTTAAAGGATTCTGGTAAGGAAGGAAACAAATTCTGCAAGAAAACAAAATTATTAAGGGAAGAAAGATAATGGCCAAAACAAAAGCAAACCCTCAATATAAAATAAAAACATTTTCAAAAATAAACAAATTATTTTACTTCATKTTGTTTCAAAATTAGTAAGGCCCTTACATTTCTTACTAGAACAATCAATACCCTAACTTTATCCAAACACTTATTTTAGAAATAAAATAAGACTAAACAACAATGGCAATACAATCATTGCAAGTTGATGATTATATTACAAAAGACCTATGCAATTTAACCTTCAGACAATAAAAATAGAGAAACACAGAATCRTTATTTAATTGTAAATCATTAAGACCTCTACGTTCATCAAGTTCAATCACTAAAGTTGGATTCCTTTAYCATGCTCTAGTACAATATCTCATTTTATCATTTTTAAGTCACTGAGTATAGCAAGACACCTTAGTAGCACTGGTGAGGCCACACCTCAAGTACTGTGTCCAGTTCTGRGCYACTGATTTCAAGAAAGACACTGGGGTGCTGTAGTGTGGCCAGAAAAGGTTAACAGAGCTGGGGAAGATTCTCCACACATGTTCTATGAGGAGCGGCTGAGGGATCTGGGTTGTTTCACCTGGAGAAAAGAAGGCTCAGGTGGACCTTATCACCCTCTATAACTGCTTGAAAGRAGGTTGTAGCAAGGTGGGGGTCAGCCTCTTTTCTCCCAAGCAACCAATGATATGATAAGAGGACATAGCCTCAAGTTGCACAGGGAAGGTTCCATTTGGATATCAGGAAGAATTTTTTCACTGAAAGGGTTGTTAAACYTTAGAATGGAATGCCCAGGGAGGTGGCAGACTCACCATCCTTAYAGATSTTCAAGAAACAACTGGACATGGCACTTAGTGCCATGATCTAATTGACAAGGTGATGATTGGTTACAGGTTGGACTTGATGAACTTGGAGGTCCTTTTCCAAACKAAATGATTCTGTGCAATTCTGTAAGCAATTGCACCCTATGCAAACACAAAATCCAACCTCAAAACAGAAAAGCGATTATATTTACAATTATTTTGCAAAACAAAGAGGAAATTACTGTGAAACCTGACCAGGTTCTCAGATCCTTTGCAGTAACAGGGGTCACAACTGTTCAGAAATCAGGCAGACATGAATAGCATCAACTATCTATTCAATAGAGAACAAGAAATTTATTTCACCTGCTCCAATTTTTACTCTCAGAATGCTTCTCTTCTGGTTACTTTATTGGGAATATTCAGATGGATATCAAAATAGTAATTATGATTTGAGATTCATGCAGGCTTTCTAGAAAGCTCCAAAATGAAACAAGACTTCCTATACCTGAATAGGAAAAAATAAGTAATTTACCTCCCCCAGCATCTAAATTTGGGATGCCATGAAGGATAACATAGTGCAGGAAAAGAGGTGTTGCATTCATTTTCACAGATCCAGAAAGAAGGCCACTTAAGAACTGCACATATCTAAAAACAAAAAAAAAAATCTGAATTATACAAAACAACAAATAGCAGGGAAATACATTATTTACACACTGATATTTCCAGATTATGGGTAATGAATAGCATTGTGACAATGCGCATAACTCCAAAAATAACAACCTTCACAAAACAGCATGAAGACACTTTAATTTACTACTGTATTAAATCCCTGGCTGTTACATTGATATTGTTGATAGATTTGTTTCAGTTATTTACATTACTACTTCAAGTAAGAAACAAAATAGAAGAGACAGTGAAGTAAATTGTTTTGGTACATATTCCTAGTCTGTAGTGTTAAATGTCTTTCACAGCAGCATGATAGGGGTCCCACCCAATTCACAATGAAGTTATCTTCATTAAAACAAGAGCAAGAAGTGCCTTTGTCAGAAATCTTAACATTAAGGGCAATGCAGCCAAATAACATCTTCATAATGAGAAGTGATCTCATTCAAAAAAAAAGGAAACTAGCACAGCCTCTCATTCAAAAAAAAGGAAACTAGCACTAGAAAATTAGGCTATTTCTGTGATTTAATACCTGGTTTGGTCACAAGCTTACAAGCAAATACATGCAAGTGAACATCACTGCAGTGTCCTTTAATTTTTCCACTGGCTTTGAACCCCTTTTACTTCCATGCCTATGAGAAGACCTTCATTTAACTTTATGCTCAGGAATGTATAGGAAAAAAATCACCTCTTTTTCCCCTTTATGCACAGAGCTCATTAACTGAACTCCTGGTAACACCACAGCTAAGGATAACCTGCTGAGTAACAACAGCTTTACTGCCCCAGAATGGGGACTGCGGTGGTTTAAAACAGGTTTCATTTTACAGAGAGCTTGCAAAGYTCAATTTATTTTTAAATAAGAAAAGGCAACTTCTTTTTTTCGTTTCCTTCTTCAGTCGTTCTGAAAGGATTCAGTACATCAAAAGCACAAATTTACAAACTGACACACCTACATGACAAAGAAAAACAGTCTTAAAATGYCAGTGACCTCTCATGACTTTAATAAATGAGTTTATTATGATGAGTGTGAACATTTTCTCTATACCTGCTTTTAATTATCAAAAAAATTGACTCAATTTTTTAAAACCTTTCTCAAGGCAATGCACTTAAAAGGCTTATWGGCAGTTGGCTTATTTTTGAGAAACATGTTCAAAGATTTATCACAAAGGTTTACAAGAATTTTCTTTTCATATGCAAGGTCTCTACCTGCATTTCTAATTTGGACAAATCTTCAAATGCTTATCTGAGAGTGGATTTAAAATAGATCTGGTCTTCAGTTACTTTTCCTGCCTTTGTTACAGTACCCAACTAGCAGTAGGGAAAAGCTAAGTGACTTACCGGCCACAATTTATTTTTATCTGGACAAGATTTAGTGAAGAAAAGGTTTCAAAATGTGAAAAATGGGTGTATTTTCATATTCTACAATTTTGAGATGCACTTAAATTATATCCATTTATACATCAATTAGGTTTTAACAAGGATATCACTAATAAATTATCCAACAATGGTTTCAGAGAAAAAGCATTTCGAAAGGCCACTGACTGATCAGAATGCAACAGAAGGAGTATAAAATTATCCACAATATTAAGAGAGTTGTTTTTTCTTTCTCTGCAATAAGGTTACTGGCCACTGCTAGGCCAGGCAAAGGCAGGAGAGGTGAGATTCAGGAGTAGTACAGTTCTGACAAATAGTTTGGAGAACCACCTCTGTTCTCACAAGAAATGACACTCTGAAGTATATGTATATGTCTGGAAGATGGTAAGGGCAGCTCAAGTTCAGTACTGGTGAGCGAAGATTCCATCAATCAAGAAGCAAACTGAGTTTCTTTGAGACACTATCCCTGCAGTTACCCCCAGAAGAATTAAGCAAGTGTCCTTGAAGCAGGGGTAGAAAAGATAGATGCCACCATTTATACCTATTTAACCTCTAGTTTTAGGGCTCACATACAGATCACCTAAGTTAGTAGCTAGTGAAGCTTCCTGCCAACAAGTTTGAAAAACTGCTTGATGCACAATTCACAGGCTATTGGGGGCGTTTCTGGCTCATTGAAATGCCTGCGGCCTAGGGCTTCTTGRTGGGAAAATTAACAGCATCTCTTTCCTTTTGTTTCTATGGCCCACACCTCTCAGTCTGATCGGTGGCATTCTCAAATCCTTCTTATTAAAATGTAATACACATATATGCAAGCATAAAACAAACAAAAAAAAGGCCAGTAAACTTCTACTTATGAAACGTTCATTGCAAGTCAAATGGAACGTTGTGCTACTATTTTGCAACTTAAAAAGAGCTGTGCATATCAGCTAATGGGTTAAAAAAGTAAGTGAGAAGTTTTTATTTAGAGATTAACAGAACAAAATGCCTTACACTAGTTGTTACTACTGATTTTTCTGGTTTAATTACTACCAAAATCTTATACTTTAAACAATTTCTAAACAACCTATTGCACACACATGGATTAACATAAAAAATAAACAGTAATTACCAAATCAAACCCAGTAGACATCTTATATTTCTAAAATAGGCTCACCTATATAATAATTACTCATTTGATGGATATTCATTCTCTTTAGGAACTGAATCCTTCATTACCTCACTTTCCAAAGTGCTTATCACTTTGAATCCTAATTCAACCTTTGTCAGACAGACTGAAAAGGTASCACATCCAGATAAACATAATGAATATTGCACGCTTTGACAAACATTTACTAGCATGGACATGGGGCAAGYGCATAATCTGCACACCTTCTAAACAAGTAATAAAAAGATGTTTATTGCACACGAATCAGCACACTTTCCACACTCATCACTTATGCCAAAGAAAAATGAGTTTATTGTTATCTTGGAACAATCAAGACATAGATTATGACATCTCTTTGTTAACAAACAARGCAGTGAGAACCGATTTAGATAACAGTGTGGTACAAAAGGTCTATCGGGGGCTACATGCAGCACCTGAAGGAGAGATCTCTTCAATCACAGTATATTAATATAAGGCAAAATGCTAAGAATTCAGGCGAATTCAGGAAGCACTGGAGGATCRTGTGAAAACAGCCTTCACATAGCCAGGGAGGGAGTAAGCGATAGGAGTAGAAGATAATGATGACATTTTTTATTTATATGAACTAGAAACAAATTGAATACCTTTTTTGGGATGGCTGCATTAAAGCTGAAACTTTATCATCAAAGAATTTCTTCATGGCAAATCTGTCTAGAGCCTGATCAGCACTGTCAAAAAAGACATTATTCTGTTTCAGTATTATTTTGAAAATTCAGCAGGTTACTACTTGAAATATGCAAAAATATTTGGAAGAATAAAAGGAGGGAAGTAAAGAAAATAAAAGAAAGAAGCAGGTCTAGTGCTGTGGACATTGTGGTCAATGATGTTTATTACACTGACACCTTCTCATTCAACACCTTAAGATAGTTTCCTTCCTGAGCAAAATACCTACTTCCTTATTCAATTAACTGGATTGCATACTTCCAAAATGAACATGTTAAAATCAGAATACAGAAAACTTTAGCAAAACCAAGCAGCTCAGGCTTCCAAAGGATACTCGTCATAATTTCTTAAGAATGCCACTGAGGTGTTCTCTCTATAAAATACAAACTTATTGTCTTTTTTCAAAAAGAACTGTAGTACCAGGCTAGAAGTACATTTAAGCAGTCAACAATTCATTCAGCCTTTGTTTCCTGTACCSTGAGCCATCAAGAAAGAGACTATAGTTGAAAAATAACTATGTTACATCAGACAATCATCAGCTCTCCAAACACACAATCAAGGAGCAACCTATTCCAGAAAATACATTTTCTTCTATTCTTTAGAATGGCTCAAATGTGGRTATTCTTTGGGTGAAGAAAGGCAAGAGGGTACAGAAACATAGAAGTGCAAAAAATCAGTAGGAATGCTGTTAATCACATACGCCAAATAATGTGCTATGCTGATTCTTTTACATCTATTCCAGATAAAAACGTGTCTCATAACAGATGTAGTTCACAGCGTTAATCAGAACACAAAAAATCTGGAAGTTTCAAAATGTAAGTACACACCAGAGTCTCAGCTTTTAAATTCCACAACTAATTCAACCTAAATGAGTTCAGAGAATAAAAAACTGCGCAAAGTAAAGATACGCGTATCAGGATAAAAATGAAATTTATGCCTTTTCCAAAAATTATTCAGAAGATGCCAATTGTCTGACAAGGATCAGGCTACAGAGTAAAGCCTTTTCTTCATTGGTGCTAGATTACACAGTGTGCACCCAAAATGTTCTTGACCCAAAACCTCTTTCTTGCTCAATCCATCATTTATCTTCACACATCTTCACCCCACTGCTATCCAGATTTTAGGCAGCCCATTCCTAACTGGTCAAAAACTGCTAGTACGTTACTTGTTAAAATGGAGTTTACCAACAATTGCAAAGAGCTCTGTTTGACCTTATTAAATGTGATGACACATTATTCCTTCCTGAACAAGAAAATTTGATAATATATAACCATAGGGGGTTTGCATCAATAAAGGTTTTTCATAGAATCATAGAATGATTTAGCTTGGAAGCAACCTTAAAGATCATCTTSTTCCAACCCTCCTGCCACAGGCAGGACACCTTCCACTAGGCCAGGTTGTTCAAAGCCCCATCCAACCTGGCTTTCAACACTTCCAGGGATGGGGCATCCATAACTTCTCTAGACAAGCTGTTCCAGTGTCTCACCACTCTCACAGTAAAGAATTCATTCTTTATATCTAATATCTAATCTAAATCCACCTTCCTTCAGACTGTAGCCATTCCCCCCTTCATCTATCACTGCATTACTTGGAAAATGTTCCACTCCACTCTTCTTGTAGATCTCCTTTAGGTACTGAAAGACTGCCAGGAAGTCTTGGAGCTTACACTTCTTTCAGACTGAACGACCYCAAGCCTAACCCTTAGCCTGTCTTCATGGCAGAAGTGCTAAGCCTACATTCACTAGATTTCACTAAGCCTAGATTTTTTTGACATGTTGTCGTGATTAAGGAATGGAATTCCTAATTTAACGCTCCTACTGACCCTCTCCAAAATACACTGATGCTTGTTCCCTCCTCCTCTCCCCATCCCCTGCAGTGGGATGGAGAGGAGAATTGAGGGCACAAAGGGCAAAGATCACAGGTTTGATCTTTGACTGAGAACAATCTACTGGACACAGGAAGGAGATAAGAAAATGAACAGTAACAACAACAATACTAATGACAGAGAGTAGAAGAAAAGAAACATTGTTGCTCACTGTGGAAACCCCCAACAACAGACAATGTTGGATGGCTCCCTCTGCCACTCTTTTTCAACCAGAAGGGGCCTCTCTCTGGAAGGATCCCCTTCACCCCATCCCCAGCAAYGACATGAGGTGGTACAGAATAAYCTTTGGGTCCTGGCCATGCTCCCTTCAAACATACTGAAAAAATTAACCCTGTCCTGGCCAGAACCACAACACCTATGCATGCTGACAATTAYGAACTTTCTTTACAGCACCTGCAGTAATTCTGCTTCTGCAAGGTTGCCATGTACCATTTTCAAGAGTCTTGATAATGCTAGGGATATATAAAATCCTAGCTGGGAAACCCCCAGCCTCATTCTTACGCAGGAAAGTTAAGTTCTGGATAGCAACTGCCAGATATCCAGAAAGTGAAAGAGGGCTTCCAAGCACACTCCTCTCATGCAACTTCACTGGAGGAATCCTGAATTTATTTGGGGTAAAAAGTGATACSTTTCAGTGCTGGGCTTAACAGAACAATACCTGAATGTGACTGTAACAGTGTTACTAACTGTGTAACRGTGCAACTATATCAGGTATCACTTTTAAGGATGACATAATATTGCAATTCTGAAATCACACCACAATAACTGTACTACCCTCACTTAACAGTTTTTGTCATTCACAATATTTCTCAATAAAATATGAAATTGTGGCAATCACTGTCACTATTACTAACTGAAGCAATTTCTTTTTTCAGTATATATTGGCRTATACAATGCACTTAGTTTCTTGGCATATAACTACTTATAAACTGGGCTTATACTAATGAACACAGATTATTTTCCAAGATTGCAGTCTGACTGACATCCATGAATAATTTGCCATCAATCACTAGCAATTCAAGACTTCATCAAGTAATCCATTAGTAATGGATCAAATCTATTACTGACAGACTGGTGTGAATTCAGGACCAAATTTTATTTAACCATCACATTTAGAATGCATTTTTATTTTTATACATTTATGTATGTATATAAATTTTTAAAAACCAAGGAAAAACAATGTGATTAAAAATCCAACAAAAATCTCCAAAACACATTTTATCCTTTTTGAGACCATTTATTAAATTGTATCTTTTTTATACAAAGTGTCAATTGTCATTTCATAATTTGAGCACTCCAAAAGAAACAACTAAAACCAAATTAAAAGACACCTACTGTTTGAATTGACTGCAAAATAAAGTCTAGATTATTTCTTACACTTCATTCTGCACTTGGATCAATGWCTAGGAATTCCCTATTCAAACATTTTTCCCAAATTCTAATAAGAGTTTTCCTGAAGTACTTTAGGAATAATTTCTCACCTATTCAAGAGGCCACTTGATAGATGTGGCAAATAGATAGATTTAATAGAATAAAGACAGCATCACTACATAAAAACAGTTTTTTGCACATTCCACCATTCTGCTCAAAACATCCTTTAGAAAAGTTTTCTGCAAATAAAACCTCAGTTTCAAAGAGACCTTAGGCTGTCACCTAGTCGAGTCTCCTGCTGGAAACAAGCTTACAAGAAAACTCGTGAAAGCCAGCTCTGTTAAGAAAGACATGCTTCAAAACTCTGAGAAGAAAACCTGACAAACCTTAACTGACAAACAAGMTGACAGACTGTAGTCAACGAAACGACATTTTTCCTAATGTTCATMGTAAAAAAACACACAATATGCATTATTCACACTTACCTTGCAGAAACATTGGTGAAGTGCATATATGATGATATGACTACACCTATCCTTCCTTTTCCTCCCTATATCAAGAAAAAGGGAATGACAGCTTTTTTAACRTATTACATCATTGGGTATTATTATATTTAAGACCCATACTAAATACAATTTTAAGACAAGAGATTCAGTGTATTGATGGAAAGGTGGAAATAATGGGGAACAGCTTATCTGTCAGTTTAAGCTGGCTAACAAATGAAACAAAAAAACACTAAGTAGGATTTATATGTGCATGCCTGTCAAGTCTTACCAGTTAAGAGGAATTAACTGGGGAAAAGAAAATGTATGAACTATTCTAATTTTGTAGTATTTTTTCCAGAGATCATTCACAACAAGTCTAGGCAATGTTGCAATTCCCAGCATAAAATGCCATAAAATACCTATTTTAGAAAGAACAGGAGTTTCTGACAGRTTTTCACATTTTTACCTCCCCAACACCTGAGATTTATAGCAAATTATTTTCTATGGATACTTAAAAAAAAATCCATATTTTTAAATACTTTACATGACAAATTCAGTAAAATTTACCAAGCAGTAATTCTCATAAATTTCAAAATATTTTTAGTCTCTCAGCAGACACATGTAGTTGGCTGTATCTAGCCTTGTGGCTGGAAACCAWTATTACCAGAAGGCATTAATCAGTAACATGCATTATCAATTTCTATRTAACTGTATACCTAGAAATACTTTGTTCCCTTTTCTTTTGTCCCAAGTATGGACCATTGTCTGGCTGCAGTCCTGCAAGTAGTAAGGGTTCAAATGTTTCACAGAATAATGCCATACCACCTGGAAAAAATTCAGGACTGAGGACTATGCAGCCTGACTTGAAGAGAAGTTTTGGTCTCATTATCACCATCACTTTGTTTAGAATAACATCTGCCAGTGATACAGAGATAGGTTTGCCTCAAATTGTGACAAGCACAGCTACCAACCCAGTTCTGAATTAATTTTATGTAATTTAAACTAACGTTTTTCTTTATTTGTTTTTATTGTGAGCAAGCAGGAGGAAGCAACAGAGCGCAATGGTAGCTTTACTCTAAGGCAATGCAATGATGCTGTCAGTTAAAACCTTTCAGAAATATCCAGAGGTCCTCATTCCCTACAACCATACACAGTCTAAAGAGATGATCTGTGATGCATTGCCTATCCTTATACTGCAACTGAAATTAATGAGTGTCACATAACACCAAGAGTTTCCTACCATGCTGGAAAAACCTCAAGCTTATAAATACATTGACAGAAGTAGCAGTAACCTTCGAAGGATGTGAAGTAACATGCTATAACTGCAGCATGGGCTAGGACTTCAGTCATCATAAAAACAAATCTTTAACAAGCATGCAAGGTCAGTGGATTTAAGCTTATCTACAACAAYTGAACATCTGGCACACTGTTGCCAACATTGAAAACAGATCAAGCTTTTTATTTTTTAAAACTAGAAKAATAAAATACAAGGTTTTTGAAATTGAATACAAACTCATCCATTGCACTTACTCTGCAATGGATTACCACCACATGCTGAGGATCATGGTCCAGCCASGACTCCATAGCCTTGCAGATGGTGCACAACTTATCAAGAAGTGGAGCATGGAGATCAGGCCACCCCACATCCATAATCTGCAATTAAACAAGTAACATTTACAAAAGACACCTTGACCCTAGCATCACATATTAAAATCTGGATTCAAATAACTGTCAGGGTTGAAAGTTCCCACAACTTTTCCAATCTGAGATAATCATGCCATTCAATTTTCATGATGCTTACAGGTATCCTAAGGGGAAGAGGGGATTTGTTTGTTTTTTAAGGTATTAGTACTTTTATAAAAATAAATAAACCAGGAACTTCCTCCTCCTCCTCTTCTTCCCCCATCCCAATCTCACCAACCACTTAAAAGTGACAATACTTCTGAAGGTCTTGATTTCTTAAAGRTTTTCAACAAGAATTTCTGCTATTTTGTAACAGTAAATACAGTCAGAATTAGAACAAAGAATGATTTTTTATGAGTTTCATTTTATTTTCAATTTATTTCCTTCAAGTGAAACAGATAACAGCAGGTCAAAATATTTTTCAGATTTTCTATTCACTGTATTTTCAGTACTGTTTACTAAGCCTATTATTATTACATGCATATTTACTAAAAATATGCAATACATATATATTATGCATACAACATATGCACAATATATAAAAAAAACAGTGACTAGGAAACATCCTTCATGATCAATAAAGCATTCAAAAGGTTTCAATTAAGAGGGATTTTAGTACTTTCCTCAGCATATCTCTAAATCACCTGCTGAAAATACACATCTGTGCTGCTCTGGCTATATGAAGAGAACCTGCATGACGTTTTTTACAACAAAAAAACACATGAAGTGGTGAGGAGAAACAAGAGACAGACTTCATTCTGACATTCCTTATGTCTGTGTTGTGCAGCAAAACAACTATCCAAASATGGTACAAAAGGGAAGTCCTTATCTGAACTGAGTTCACTAGTTTCAGCTGCCTGTATATAACTATACAACTCCAGTATTCTGTGACTGCACAAAGAAGATATACTTGAAGTAAAATTTATATCATCCAATAGAAGTTTTTCAGAAGTCACAACAGGCTTCTGGTCCTGTGTGTAAAGTCTAAAGCAAGAGGAACAGCTGTGTAAAACTGATCTAATAGACACAATACAGAACTTGAGAAAAAATAAAAAGGGATGCATGTGAGGTTTTTTAGTATCTTCCGAAACGTCTCTTACTCTGCATATCAACACTTGCATAGCTTCAGGGCTTATCAGGCCATTTAAGTTGTATTTAACACTGGAAAGCTACGTTTTGGAAGACAATCAATACCTTTGAGTTAAGCTTGGCAAGGTCATATCTCTTTTCAGAGAGGTTTAACACCTATTCAGAAAGAAAGAAAAAAAATATTAGCCACCAAGACTCTATAATTTATGTAATAAACATCTGTATTTGAAACAAAAATTACAAGAAACTACAATGATATGGCTTTAGGTTTGCCCACTGTTATACTAAACTAAATTAACATTTGACGTCAAGCAGCACAAGCAAATGTATTTTAGATATTCAATTATTTTACAATCAAACTAATTGTATATTTTGAAAGAGGAGAATTAAAATTCTACTACATCTTATTTATTTCGCATGGCTTCGAGTCAGAGGTATGCTGAGAGACCTGGATACCATGCAAAGTAACTCAGAGCATAAGAATTAACCATGAGAAGTCTGGGAGGGTGGAAAAATGTTAAATATTTTAATTTGCGTGCCTGACAAGAAAGTATTGGTCTGTCAAAACTTGTCAGGGAAGATATGACACAGCTATTTAACTATAGCTTAGCTCATGATATCTTCCAACWCTTCTGTTAACCCACTAAATAGCAAGTTACCCTACACTTAGAGATAGACTGCTAAATGAACAAAWGAAAGCAGTGTATACAAGCATAACAGACTCTTTCATTAGGAAGTACCTTAAATTAGTATCAATCAATRACAAAAAGCTGAAACATCAATATTCAAGAACTGAAACAATGCTACTGAGGCAGATTCTCTTTCACAGTGTGGTTATTTCACATCCCAAGTTACGTACAGATGCCATAGTCATTGAAAAAGTCTCATAAATTACACTGAGCAAATGAAATAAGCAAATTGTAACATGAGAAAGACTAAATATAAGTCCATTATACAGTCTACTACTAYCCAAGGACACTTTAACAACACTTTTCTAAAGCATAACACTTTTCTAAATTATTACCTTTTTACATTAAGCACTCTCATCAACCATCAACCAAAGATGCCAAAAACTGAACAGGTTAAAGCGCTACATCACTAACTCATCCTTCCTGAAATACCAATAATATTGGTATTCACAGCAATGAAACCAATATTGTCTTCTATAAATGACACTTTTTTTTTGGTAATTTTCTATTACCTTTAACAATTGGAACACAAATTAACAGAGARGTGCAGCTCTCAGTACAGATCTCAGTACTCTTAAAATTAGTGCTAAAGCTGTATTAAGAAATCGATTACCTAAAATTTTCCACAGTAAAAAAGGGGCTATTTGACAAAACCCTTTTTATTCATCTTTCTCACTGTATTTATGTTTGAGAACAATTTATAATTTCTGTGTGTCAGGATACAGTTATGTTCATGATGGATATTTGTCACTGCTGGATCAGACACCAAGCTCAAAGAYGTTGTTGTACCCAAGTCCCTGTCAAGCTACAATGATCACACTGAGATACTCCAGGAGTCCCATGTCCCATTAACACAGAATAGAGACCAGATACTCRTCTCCAGTACAGAACATTTCACATACAACAAAACAAGAAATCACAAAAACAGGTGCCACTGTGTGTTGGTTTTGGCTGGGGTAGAGTTAATTTTCTTCAAAGTAGCTCATATGGGGCTGTGTTTTGGATTTATGTTGAAAACTGTGTTAACRCAGGGATGCTTCCATTTTTGTTGAGCAGTGCTTACACAGTGTCAAGAGCTTTTCTCCCTGTCACACCACCCCATCAGTGAACAGGTTGGGGTCGCACAAGAACCTGGGAAAGGACACAGCCAAGAGAGCTAACCCCAACTGACCAAAGGGATTTTCTATACCATATAACATGCTCGGCATATAAGCCTAAGGAAGGAGGGCACGGAGACATTCAGAGTGGTGGTGTTTGTCCTCCAAGTCACCATTATGCATCCATATGCATCACCAGATGTCCCGGGGATGACTGAACACCTGCCTGCACATGGAAAGCAACAAATAATGACTTGTTTTGCTTTGCTTGTGTACACAGCTTTTCTTTAACCTATTAAACTCAGCTTATGTATTTTCTCACTTTTACTCTCCAGTTCTCTTCCCCATTCCACTACTGAGGAAGCAAGTGAGTAGCTGTTTGGGGTCAAGTTACTGATTGAGATTAAACCATAATACAGTGGATAATTAGCTGCATCCTTTTTGCTCCCTTTTTGGCATATACTAGTTCTACTTACTTATATTTTGGTGTAAGAAAGAGGAACATTAGCCTCAGTTTCTAGTTCGAAAAGTCATGTTTCTTCTGGGAACCAAAGCCTACAGGGAATATGTTTTTTTAGGACATCAAAGCAGAGAAACATTTACTGTAAGCTTTCATCTCCCCCTAAAGACCTCTGGTCAAAAAAATGTCAAAGTATATTACTCTACTGCTAGAGAAAATCAGATACTTAGGGTTTTTTCATACTCTTTGTAACAAACTCAGACTCAAACAAGAAACAAAGTGCTCACCCTGTTCTTTGGGTGTGTCATTCCCTTCTCTGTTCTTACTAACAACTGTAGTGAAAGGAAAACGACTAGATGAAAAAATGCTGATTTGTAGTATATGTTCTGTTAGCTGACACCCTGACCCAATAAAAGAGTAGAACTGCTCCATCAAACTCAGCAGGACTTCTGACTTGCATACCATTCTGTGGAGGTTTTCGGGATTTTTCCTTGCTGATATGCATGTGCCTCTTGAGCAGGCTGAAGAGCAGTTAAAACACGAGAAACAAAAAAAAAAAGTTTAAAAATTAGCTCTCTGAATCTACAACCTGGCTGTGCTTTGTCAGGCTATCTCGCAAATTTGCAGACATATTTGGAGTAGATGGTATCAAGCTTTCTTTTGACCAAGCCAGCTGATTTCCAAAGTGCTCATTAGAAAATAAATTAATAAAYCAAACAAAACTAAAACAAAAAATTAAAGCATCTCAACTTTGCATGAGAAACTGACTACTAATCCCTGTCAGAGACTAACACTACAATCCTTCTCAGATACTAAACAAGACTCACTATATATCAGATTTTTGTAATACAAACAAATATTGAGTGAGATTTAACCAGACAGACTAAAACTTCACACTGCTGTCGCATAGAAAAGGCTAGAAAATAGGTGAATTTCAACCTATAAAGCTTTACATACAGGTCACCTTCAAACTATTACTATTTTGGGCCTTATAAGCTACCAGTGCCTTATAGAAGGAAAGCCAAGGACACCAAAGGAGCAYGCTGAGGCCATCAGTCCACATCACAAGTTCAACCTGGTTCATAATGCATCTATTACTTCAGTTTCTGAGCAGAAGATTATGTGTTTAAAACACTAGGTGGAATCCCTCCAGTGAGCGATTTCTACTGTGAGTAAGGTTCATGTTCCTGAAGTGGAATTGATTTGTATTTAATTCTAATAATTTACACATACTATTTAAAAAGACAGTACAAGAAAAAAGAGTAAATATAATATTGGCCTTGTTTTAAATTCACCTTCATAGAACAAGCTGAGGCAATACATGCCATGGCACTAGCCAGGAAACAGCATAGGAGATTGTTGTCATAATTTAAAAAAAATAAATCTGAACATGGAGCTTATTACATGTTTGCTTAATTCCCCAGAGAAAACTAAGTGGCAGGAAAAATGCACCTAAAACAAGTTAATGAGAAAGGGCTGGACAGAACATATCAACAGTAACCCTATTTTTACATGTTGCTTCACAGTATATAGTACAGACTGACAGTGAAGACATGATGGTGAGATCAGATACCTGTCTGAGAACACAGATGTAGCTTACTGCTACAAAAGAACAGCACACTCCACACTGCAGGGTGTGTATCTTTTAAAAGCATGCTTTGGACAATGAAAATGGTCAGTGCAATTATTCTACAAGCATTTGATTATGTGTTATCACAACAGAGACTGCAGTGCCCTTGCAAAAAAAAACCCTGCTTTCAATATCTAGCAGCTTAAAACACTACTGAAAATCTTGCAGTTGCTTACAAGGCTGTAAAGTTGGACCACAGAGTGACTTTTAGTTTATAATGGTATATGTGGACCTAAGGTAGTCTTTCTGCATGACAAAAGATGTATCACAAACAGCTGATGGTACACATACCAAGTAATTATCCCCATGTTTGGATTTGAGCATTCGTGTTACATCTTGTAGATTGTGGAGGTACGTTTCCTCAGAACACCCAGCAGGGAAGGATACAGAAATGATCCGCTCTGTGATATAAGTGAGGTCAAGTTCATAGCCTTCCTCCATAATGTGATCAAAGTCCACACTTCTGTGAAGAAATTAGATGTGGCAGTTTAAAGCAAAGCATCCAAGAAGAAACATAGCATATTAATGAGAAGAAATTACAACTTGAACTCCTACAGCCAAGCATCACATGTTTCCAATAATTTCATTAAACAACTACAGAGCTGGAAGTATTCAGTTCAGAACACAATTGGAGTTCTTCACCAGAATTCTTCACATCAAAACTATAGTGAAGAAATCTCTGCAACCAATAATGTGGAAAAGCTGCAAAATAATTACAAGCAATTTGACAAATATTAGCACAACAAATTTGTGAATCAAATAGAAAATGTATTGGTACTTATGTCGGCACACATCTCTAGAATTCTCTAAATGCTTTACCAATTGGAAGATTGACCAGTGATCTGTACAATATTGCTGATCTTGAAACCTGCTCAGAATAAAACTGAAGTGAATCTAAAACCAGTCCCCAAAGTACAGCAGACATGAATGTAATTCAATTAATTTCACTGGTTAGTCCAAAAATACTTTAACTTCTTCTTTTCCAGGTTATGGGCACAACTTTGTCCTTTTTAATAAAATATCAGAAGATTAGCTCTGTAAATATGCCCAGTTGTTTTCCCATAAAGGGATTGTAAAAATGGTACTTGCATAGCAGGTCCTATCTTGCAGAAGGCTGAACTCACAGAAATCACAATTACAAATAACAAAGCTTAAACCCACCACAGCACAATGCGACACTGCTACACAAAATATGAAATACTTGCCGTGATACTTTGTCAGAACTTCAAAGCACTGCTGGAATTCTGGAACAAAGAAAGCAGAACAATCAATCCAGAACCTTACTTGCTGTTCCTGATGTCAGTGTTTCTGCCTTTTTGCCGCATTTATGATTTGGAAGACTATGACAAGAGGATACAAGAGGATCATTGCCCTATGTTTTTAATGCAAACACTGTAGTTACGGCCAGGTTRCGTCTTTCTACTACCTCTTCCAACTCACTAGCGCCAAGAAAGTCTTTTGTGATGTTTTAGTGCTCTTATTGGTAACTGCACTAAGATCAGAGAAAACACAGTAGGCTTTGAGAATATGAAACTTCAATTTTTGTGTAAACCAGCAAAAGCAAGTTCCTCTCAACTGATTTTCTTAAGACAATATTRAAATATACATTCCAGTATCAGGCTCCTGTGTAGTAGTTTACTGTGTATATTTACTGTGTAGTTTTTTTGGTAGTTCCATTGTTGAGTAACAGTAACTATGGTTGAAAAAGTGTAAAAATATTCTCCTCATGAAACATAATAATGAAATTTGGCTCACCTAATTGCAGCTGTCTCAGAATTAAGCTCCAATGTGATTGTCACCCAAGCTCTGTGTGTAACAGAGATCTAGAGGGGGCAGTAACCTTCCAGAACAGGTTTAAGAAGAAAAAAACCCTACAAAAAGGCAGCTACTACTATACAAACACTTTACATTTAGCTATGTCTCTACATATTTTTAGCTTTGCATATATTTTATCTTATATATCTGTTTAATTCATGTATTTTGTATATTTTTATTTTAGCACTTAGATACATCAATGTTTTGATACAGAAAATCAGATGTTCAATTGAATATCATGCATTGGTAAATCCGTAAGTGAAAGAGCTCATCTCTTTGCCCTGGATTTATACCTAATATACAGAAACATGCACATGAAAGCTTATTTATTAAGGGCAAGAGCTGGAAAACTGATAAACCTGTCTGTTTTGGCTACAAAACCAAATAGGTTGAATGGAAGATGCCTTGGATCTTTCCATAAAATGATGCCGTATATCAAAATCTGGGAAGAGCTATGATACATATCAACATGAAGGTGGCATATTTTCTTTCAGGATTTCTGAAMGTGAACTATTCTGGCAAATTTTAAAGCACAACTGATGGCGTAAGGTGCACCTTGTATAAGTGCTTGGTCCCAGTTTCACGAGTTCCTGTCTTTACTTAGACAATAGAAGATGAGAATACTTCGTAATATTTTCAGCCTCATTTTACCCAATCCCTTCTTAGAATTTTTAAGGCTTTAGATAATAACACCATGGGTACCAAAACAAGTAAATAACTATAAATGAAATTCAAGACACAGCTTTTGGCATATTTTGTTTTGGTTTTGTAAATACAAAGCAACACTTYCTTCATTTCTATTGATCACAGTGATGTGAAGTACTCGGATGTAATACAAGGATGCTAAAAACTTCCAACTAGCAGCTAGACCAGAGAACGATCTTATTATTTTGCTTCACATTTGTTTCACTAGAATGAGCTGTCAAAACCAATTATTCACATGCAAAAAAACTAAGAAGTTTCCTCTTTTCTGATTTTTTAATTTTAGTTAATCTCTCTAGTTAAGGAGCAGTGAACTGAAAGGTAAAACAATCATGTCAGCTAGACATTTTAACTGATCTCAATATCAAATATATTCATTCAAATATAAATAATTTTAATTTTACTGAAACAGTGTACATAACAGCATGGATCCAACACAGAGATACCCTTAGTTGTAGAAAACAATTTATTRTCAGCCAAAGTAAATGAACTATACTGTTAAAGCAAATGTAACCTCTTTGAACATCTCCTGTCTACATAGGTAGTCAGGGATCAGAACTCTTCAAGCCCTGCACAGAATGGCACCAGCAGAAGCCTGCTGCACTGAAGCAATAACTCTCTCCACTTTAGTACTGACAGGAAACACAGAGTGCTAAAAGCACAGAGTTTGACATCACTATCTCAGCTAGCAGGAACACACTATTCCCTTTTTCCCCTGACTTAACGGGAAGAGTGCTGAAATGAGTTGTGCTSAAAGAACCCTCTCAGGTAAACAAATGAGTTTGTATACACACAAAGAGTGTMTGCATGTATATATGCATGTAATAAGGGAGTACATTTAAGTCTCCACATGCTCCTGTCACAGCTTTAAAACGGTTGCCCCCAAGACAAATACTGCTACTCCTGCTGCCTACTTATCAGCTCTAGGACTAAAATTACAAATAAACCCCTTCACTGGCTAACTACTGTCCTACGTTTGTTTGAGATGCAAATGATACAGCTTCAAGTCTTTGATTGGACACATATGAAGAGGGGCTTTGAAAGTTCACTCTAATATGTAAGCTAAAGATCTCAACCAAGACTATCAGTCACATTGAGATGGAAGACTTAAACATTGATTTCTAAAGGGTTTAGTGAAGCTTTGACATTTCTACATTTCTTCTTGAAACGTCATCATTATTTACTACACTGGCATGAGGTGACCACTCTGAGAGCTAGCTATGCCAATTATAAATCTTTCTGGTTTCAAGTCCTAAAAAAAAAAAAAAAATATCACACATAAACCTACGGGACATCCAAGTGAAAAAAGTAAGGCAAAACAAACAAAAAAAAATTAACCAGAACAAGCTAAATTTGTTTTACAATCTCTGTAACAAAACTGTGAAAGTACTCCTTTCCCTCCTTCCCTATTCATCTCATGCATGCTATTTCCAGTTTCTGAGTTCTGTTCCACTTGGAACACATACTGCCATAGGCAAAAGATACCTCACAGAGAAAATATCACCAAATATGAAAATATCTTATCACACAATTTTGGGGKTTTTTTTTCTAATACTACTACATGCAAAAGGAGGTTTACATGGGGAAACTCTGATCTGTATTAAGAGAATTATTTTCCTGGAGTAAAACTAGAAAACAGAGACAACAGGAGATTTGATGCCTATCACATTTCATGAGCCCCATGGGTCATGACCCATTTCATGAGTCATTATACCTTGACCCAATATAAGATACTGAACACTGTAATAACAGTATATTCAGAATATTATGSCTATCGTGCACATGTGCACACTTAYGATCTTATTGGCATCAAGGAAATGTACTGGGATGACTGCTGTGACTGGAGTTTTGGAATGGAAAGGTACAGGCTCTTTAGGAAGGACAGTCAGGGGAGATGAGGAGGCAATGTTGCCCTCTCTGTGAATGACCAGCTGGAGTGCATGGAGCTCTACCTGGATATGGATGAGGTGCTGAATGAAAGCTTACAGGTCAGGATAAAAAGGAGGGAGGGCAGGTGATTATAGTGCAGGTCTGCTACAAGCCACTTGACCAGGAAGGATCAGCCAATGAGGCCTTTCTGTGTAAAACAGAAGGCCTCAAGATCACAAGCCCTGATCCTCAAGGGGGACTTCAAGCAACCCAGCATCTGTTGGAAGGATGACACAGCAGGACACAGGCAATCCAGCAGGCTCCTGGGAACACACYGATCATTTCCTTCACCAAGATAGAAGTGCCAACAAGGAGAAGTGCTATGCCAGATCTTGCTCTCAGCCACAAAGAGGGCATGGTGGGGAATGTGAAGCTCAAGGGAAGCCTGGGCTGCAGTGACACAATACAGTGAAGTTCTATGTCCTTGGGGTAGTGAGGAGCATGCACATCAAGCTCATTACCCTGGAATTCAGGAGAGAAGACTTGGCCCTCTTTGGGGATCTCCTTGGTAGAATGCCATGGGAGGGTAAAGGGGCTCAAGAAAACTGGATGAAATTCAAGGATCATCTCCTCCTGGTTCAAGAGCAACACATCCCTACAAGGAAGAAATCAGGCATAAATACCAAGAAGCCTGAACAAGTTGCTCCTGGACAAACTCAAACACAAAAAGGTACCCTCCAGAAGGTGGAGGTAGGGACTGATAGTCTGAGAAGAACAGAGAGATTGTCTGAGCAGCCAGGGAACTAGTTAGGAAACATTTGGATTAAACCTGACAGGGTTAAATTTGGCCAAGGGCATCAAAGGTAACAAAAAAGTTTCTATCCATACATTGGTGATAAAAGAAATACTAGGGAAAATGTGGGTTTTCTCAGGGAGGATATGGGAGACCTGGTTACCCAGGACAGGGAAAAGGCTGAGATATTCAATTAAGGTAAAGGTAGGGATAGGGAGAATGAAGAACTGSCTGCTGTAGGAGACCACAAGGTCCAAGACCATTAAAGGAACCCGAAAGAGCACAAGTCCATGGGACCTGATGAGATACATCCATGGGTCCTGAAGGAAATGGCTGAGAAAGTGGCTAAGTTACTATCCATCATATTTGAGAAGTTGTAGCATTCCAGTGAAGTTCCCASTGAAGGAAGAAAATAAAACATAACCTTCATTCTTATAAAGGGAAATAAGGAAGACACAGGAAACTACAGGCCAGTCAGTCTCACCTCAGTGCCTGGCAAGACCATGGGGCAGATTCTCCTGGAAATTGTGTTAAGGCACTTGGAAAATAAGGTGGTGATTGGTAATGGCCAACATGCATTCACTAATAGCAAATCTTGCCTGACAAATTTGGTGGCCTTCTATGACAGGATTAGAGGACTGGCAGATGAGGCAAGAGTGCCTGACATCATCTACCTGGTCTTGTGCATTGCATTTGACATTATCCCACACAAAACCCTTGTCTTTAAATTGGAGAAACATAGATTTCATGGATGTACCACTTGGTGGATAAAGAATTGGCTGCATAGTCACACTGTTGCAGTCTTCAGCCTAGTGTCCAAGTGGAGATCAGTGGTATTTCTTAGGTGGTTATTGGGACTGGCACTGTAACATCCTTGTCAGTGACACAGAGAGATATGAGGATCAAGTGCTCCCTCAGCAAGTTTGTCAATGACACCAAGCTGTGTGGTGTGATGAACATGCTGGAGGGAAAGGATGCCATGCACAGGGACCTGGACAGGCCTGAGAGATGGGCTTGTGTGAATCTCATCAAGTTCAACAAGGTCAAATCCAAGGTCCTGTGCCTGGGCTGGGACAATCCCAAGCATAAGTACAGTCTAGGCCAAGAATGAATCAAGAGCAGCCCTGGGAAAAAGGGCTTGGGGGTTCTTCCTTCCTATGTCCTTCCTTGGTTGCTGAATAATAAGCTTGACATGTCTCAACAATGTGTGCTTCCAGCAGGAAAGTCAACCATATCCTGAGCTGGATCAAAAGCAGCATGGCCAGCAGGTCCAGGCAGATTGCCCCTCTACTCTGCTCTTGTGAGAACCTGCCTGGAATGCTGCATCCAGCTCCAGGGACCCCAATACAAGAAAGATGTGGACCTGCAGAAGTGGGATTCAAAGGAGCGTTCTGAAGATTATCACCTTTCCTATGAAAACAGGGTGAGAGAGATGGGGTTGTATAGCCTGAAGAAGACTCCAGAGAAACTTTAAAGCAACCTTCCAATAYCTAAAGGGAGCTTACAAGAAAACTGKAGAGGGACTTTTAACAAGTKTATGCAGTGATAGGACAAGAGGGAATGGCTTTAACTGAAGGAGGGTAGCTTCAGATTAGTTATTAGGAAGAAATTMTTTCATGTGAGGGTAGTGAGGCACTGGGATAGGTTGCCCAGAGAAGCTCTGGATACTCCACCCCTGGAAGATTTCAATGCCAAGCTASATGAGGCTCTGAGCAACCCGGTATAGCACAAGGTGTCCTTCCCATGGCAGGGGAGCTGGAACTAGATGAYCTTCAATGTCCCTTCCAAACAAACCATTATGTGATTCTACGGTTCTACTTCTGCATCTCACCAATCACAGTATTTCAATAACAAACACAACAAAACATCTTTTTTTGTCACCCCTCAATAAAGACAGTTCAAAGGAAATTGGATTGACATGGTTAGAAATAGAAACCACTTTTCAATGGAACAAAATCATTSCAAAACCAATTAAGCCACCTCCCTCTCCAACCATTATGGAAGAAAACCATCACAGATTCCTGCCAATGACTCCCTAAAAACAGCCTCTCTGAAGGAAAAATAAAGGCATTAAAGCAAAAGATAAAATGACACCACTTGCAGTTTCTTCACCTTTGTTAACTTTGTTTTGCTCATCAGTAGGTCTATCTTGCACTGAAAGCTCCTCGTTTTGGTTCCACTTTAAAAACATCCAAAACCCAGTTAATTCCCCCCTTTTGCCCTCAAAATCTACCAGGTGGCATTGTGACACTTCTCCAAGAAACAGGCTTGAGCTTTGACTCCAGCATTTAATGGCATTAAATGAGAAGAATCAAAAGCAAGTTCATACATAAAGGCTCTGCCACACCATTTGCTAATGAGCAAATACTAATTTTTTGCACCAATGTGAAAAACCTAAATTAACCAAACATGTATGATTTCTGACATGATAGCGAACAAAACTTGAATGGGATGCCAGAGACTAAAGTTTAGTTAAGCATTAAATAAACAGAAKCCACCATTATATAAGTCAGACCAAACATTAAAATTTTACCTAAGGTATCACATTCACTTCACAGTTCTCTCTGAGGAGATCGGTCCACATGGATACATGATGCACTGTGATTAATACAACGAATTCTGACTATAAGGAAAACTGATTTTTAAATTAACATTAAAAGATTTGTCTTTTCCTTTTGAAAGACAAGTGGCAGTCCTCCATCACACTGTAATAACTAATGCCACAGTCATTTATTATTTCAATATTTTGCTAGAATTTACTGTATAGTGATGGCATTAGTACTGTCCTTTCCTTTTACACATTCCAGTGCTGAGAAAGCATTTTCAAAAATTTACCAGAGGCATATTCACAAGGGCCATAAGATTTCTCACTCTCAGGATAAGCTATGAAAGAATAGAAAATTGTGCAGATATGCAGAAAAAACACACCCTGTACTGGGTATTTCCCTTTTCCAGCATGAGCTGTCAAGCAGAACCTATGCAAGCCCATTTGCTTTTTAGTTAATTCAAACATATATGAAAAGTTGCTATGCCATCTGAAAACCATTGATACTGAGGAATCTGAAACATGGATAATTTTGCTTTAGAAAAACAAAGCTTGGAAGGCAGAAAGAAGCCTGCTATACCTTGAAAGAACACCACACTTTTGGATTTATTTGCTATAGTAATTACTGTCACACTTTTGAAAAGCAGATGCTTCTGCTTTGCAAAAGTACCACACTCAGTAGAGGTTTGAAGTCAATTTGGAGAAAATAAACAAGCAGGCAAACCTGGCACTGGAAACTACCCAACCTTTCCCTCTTGCTGATTCCCTATTTCTATAGATTGTTTTTGTTCAAAGAACACTTGCTTTTCATTTAATTTTGGATGAACATGCAGAACGGAACATACTGTGTCATAACAAAACTTCGTATTTAAATTCCGATAAAATCTTGTAATTATCTAATATTCCTAGAAACAACATGAACCTTCCATCCTGGCAAATACAATGACTAGCTTTTGYATTTAGTATGCATTACACAGATCAATTCAGGATCACTATATTTCATTAATTTGTGGAGGTGGGTTGGCCAGTTAAGGCAGTTTTATTCYTAGTGCCCTGTTATGACAAAGTCAGAGACATTTACAAACAAGGCACTGATATCATTTAAAACAGCATTTTGGAACCTCGACTCTGCATGTCAGGGGTCCATGGCCTTAATGTAGGAAGGACTTGAAATCTAAAACCAAAAAAAAAACCCCATAGAAACTCATTAGAAAGAGGCTCACACCAGCCTCCTTCTGGAGAAATGCAAATAAAAAAAATTTTGGAAAATATTTATATTAAGTGTTTCAAATCCGGCATTAGCTCACAGGTTTTGTCAAGGAAGTGTCTCATCAGTCTGCTCTTCTGCATATCTATAACAAATCAAGAAATTAAGGAAAGTAGGATTTTTTCAAGAAGCTGGAAAAAAAGGAAAGKAAGAGAAAAGCACAGTCAACATTTAATAAAGCAAAACTGAACAGCAYGACAGAGAAAAAACTGTTTCAAAAAGTTTCAAGGCACCTTTGCTTCCTAATGAGTGCAGGTAAGCTGTATTAACCAGAAGTGAAGAAACATCCCTCGATAAATGTTTCTTCAAAGTCCACAGTTTTCTTCACGGAGACATGAGCTCTGTGGTTCTGGATGGTRACAGAGCAGGAACTGAACAAGCAAATACAAACTTCCACTGCATATTCCCACCCTTTGCAAACAAACCAGAGAACAGACCAAGCCGGTTGCATTTTCCTTTCCATGATGTGCAGGCACATGCATGAGACAGGCAGTTAGAGCCTGCAGCACTCCCTGGAAAACTGCTCTGATGAAAGTCTTGAAAGCAGCCAGGAAAGTTCGTAGCAATGGGAAAGCCTGACAAATTTAGTGTGTCCTTCACCTTCACCAAATCATGCCTGCTATATGCATATAATGCTTGTTTTACATGCATCCCACAGGTCCTGTGAGCTAATGTTTGAATGTAGCATATTGGAAAAAAAGTAAGTCCCCCTAAATAACGGGGGCAATAATCGGGCATGTTCCTAGTTTTCCATAAGATTTCCATGCTATTGTTTGAAAGAAGAAAGACAGGAAAACGCAAGAACTAATTAGCCACAGACACTTACTACAAACCAAATCCACTTCATACTTTTTTCACAAAAGCTTTTTCACTGATTTAAGCCAGAAACCAAATTTAGAGCTGGCAGAGCAAAATCATTACATATGCCAGCTTCTAATTCAATTTAGTCACTGTCATCATACTCCACYGTATTTGGAGGTCATGCCTGATATAAGCCAATTTAACATCTTATGTCTTCCAGTAGCAAGGCCCCACTTAAAATTAAATTGGATAATGCAGTCCTTCATCTGCATGCCCAGGCCTTTCCAATACCACAAACAATTATCTAGGCTCTCATTTCTCAAAAAATCTATTGCATGCTCACATTAAAAACAGATGGACTGTTTCCATGGGAACATCAAAATTGCTTCACATTGTTTTTCCCAAAAGATGTTGTGAGGAGCCATTTTAATCTTGGTTTGCCTCAACACTGCTTGTCAGAGGCATGTGGGGGAAGGGGTGCACACGTGCAGGAGGCAACCAGGACATGGGTGAAGCCTTGTCTCTGGGGGGATTTCACCTGGCAACACCTCACATGGGCATCTGGAGATACTGTTCTCCAGARACATTTCTCCTCACATGGGCGCCTGGAGATACTGCTCTCTCCAGAGACATTTCTCCAATCAGATGGTGGAAGGGCTCCACCAACGGACAGCATAAGAAGGCTGGACTGGACCAGTGGTCTCCTGCTCAGTAGGAAGACTTTGGGAGGAGCCAGGGGGTAAAAAAATCAACTGCGGCATGAATTTTGGGGAGCTGGACTCCAAGAAGAGCTGGGCTTTGGAGGAGCTGGGCCTGGGGGAGATGGGCTTTGGGTAATTTTGGGAGCTGGACTTTGGCCTGCCTGGATTTTGCCCTCGCTAGCTCTTGCTAGCCCCCACGCATCAGCCTTCCCTCCTGGGCGCTTGGCAGGACACCGGCTGCCCTCCGAGCTTTGTGTGCAGCGTCTGCCTTGCCCCACTCCTTCGCCTGACCCAGCCTGTCCTGCCTGTCCGACCTCRCCCGCCACTGCAATCTTTGCTTCGACTCCAYCCAGGGTCCTGGTTCCTGCCCAAGTGTCCACTCACCGCATGTCCAGCAGCCCATCGCCACGGGAACCACTCCTCTCTCCGAGCTGCTCCCCCTCCGGCAGCAGTGCACTCACCCCCGTCATGTGGATGCTGATGGCACACCCAGGTCCTGCAGGTGGTAACACCCGCTCTTCTCTCCCTCTGTCTCCTTTCTCTCTCTACCCATTCCTTTTCCATTTTCCTTTCTCTTTCACTGTGTTTTCCAGCCCCCTTTAGTAGGCAACTCCTTCTCCTTGTCTTTTAAGTTGCCAATAAATGATTCTCAGATACAAAGTTTGTCTCGTTTGACTTCATTTCGTTCTCGACCGTCCAATTTAAAAGAATTCGCGGTTTCCCACAGTTGGAATGTGACAGATGTGTTTAAAAATTAGTGCAGTAGGGACAAAAATTCATGTTGTTATATTCACTGATCTTTCTCATACAAAGCATCTGGGGATAATTGCATACAACAGCATCAGAAGAAGGAATGAATGGAGGTCTTTTGCAATCGRGACAAGCATTCTTTCAAACTGAGTTAGAGGACCAACTTTTCTTAAAGTTTCCTGTGTTCTTCCTCATTTTCCCCATACATAGCTGGGAGTTTGGTTTTAGTTTTATGTATCAACATGTATTTTCACTTCCTAGTTTTCAATTTTTTTTTGAGAAAACTTTGGCACCAGGTTGAATATCTGTAGGTATATATAAACTACCAGGATTTCAGATACAAATGAGATAGGCAATTAGAATGAGGCCTTTGTGACTTCACACTCCTTCAGCAACTTTTTCAAGGTATTCTCCTACTCCTTTTAAAGAAGCAAATGAAAAACACACATCCTCCAAAAGAGCCGAAACAAACTAATCTCTATTTCTCCCACAATTACTTTTATTCTGTTCTCCCCGTATTTTTAAACAATCCAGAACACAGTCTGAGTCACTGTTCAAAATCAGGTTTTAGTTTGTTAGGAAGGACCTAAATGTTGAAGTTTTCAATTTTTCTCTTCACAGGCAAAAAAGAGGCTTGCATAATTAAAGAGGAGGGGGTGGGAATCAGAACCACCGACACCCTTTCCCAATTTCTATCAAAATGACCAAACTTCCACTCAAGATTTAGCAAAATAGCTAAACTAACTTCAGCTTGAAGAGACTGTTACAATAAAATATACATTACATGTAAGCGTCCACTTAATTTTTCCACATTATAACAGCTGGTTATGAAGAGTGATGTTTAAATGGCAGACTGAAGGTATGCAGAATCCTTTGGTAACCATTTGGAAAGGAAAAAACAAAAAAAGGTAGGGGATAAAAAGAAGAAAGTCTATCAAGGTTAAATCAGAAATTTCTCTGCTGAAGGTCACTACTTAAACATGTCTTAAAACTGACAAGTCATGCAGCTATAAGGACCATTCATCCATGAAGTAATTTTACAACAAGAATCCATGTACATAASAGGTTTGGGCCTTCACACCACATTTCATTACTTCAAGAAATTTGGTGGCTAAGGTGATAGGGACTCTGAAGAATTAAGATTTAGTTTGCTTTAYTCTTTCTGAAGATACACTATCAAAAAGGACAAAAAAAGAAATTCAGTGAAGAAGACTAGCTTACTGCCTTCTTGAAGTATCTTAAACTATCCTAGACTATTCCTGGAACCTAAAAATTACCTCTAAAATAATAGCCTTCCATTGGCTTTCCTTTTAATTTTTATCTTTTTTAAGTAATAGATGACACAGAGAGTATTTCGAGGTTTAAGGTTAGGGCCTAAAGCTTTTCTTATTTTGGCAGCACGAGAGAAAAAGACTTGCTTAAGTTGTTAGCATTTTTTTAAATAAAAACATCAGTTTAAGCAATACTATCAACCGAGTAACTAACCATCTTTCCAAATAAAATCCAATAATTCCAGTAAAGGCCATTTAAACAAACCTACCATCTTTGATTTTTATCTGATTTCAGATGTACTATATAGGCTAAGTGAGCTCTCATGTAAAAACAAGCAAACAAACACAGTGATCATGCCACTTTTTTCCTTTTTTTTTTTTATTTCTGGGTTAAGCTATAAATCTCTGTGACTTGAGTTAACTGAAGTTGACTAACATCATCCCCTTTTCTGAGGAATGTGCATAACAAAGTAAGGAATGTTAGAACACCAACAGGACCTGGTTTACGTTTTAGCACCAGAAGTTCCAAATAGCTGCACTGAGTTGATATACRAGGCTCCTGATGTCATTACAAAGCTTCAAGATACATGGTTCATGAGAAATTGGAAGGCCCCTTTGGYAATAGACATCCAAGTAGAAAAAAATTAATAAAACCCATATTTTAAAGAAAAATAATATCTGTCAATTTCATCAGGCTTCAATCGACTTCCAACAAATGTGTCACTGAGAATYTAACTACAGTTCTTGCTATGAGCCAGTTTAAGGAGAGAAATACAGGCAGCCTTTACACTGACTAAATATATGCAATACGGATTTAAAGCCAATTTATGTATTGTTTATTCATGTGAAAACTAAAAGGTTGGAATTCCTTGGAAGGAATGAATGGGGATAATGCAAATTATGATGCCACAAAATTTTGTTTGATTTGAGTAGATGTTGCCCTCCCTATTACCTAAAAATCTCAACTATTTGGTCTTGTCAAAACTTTACACCTAAAAGAGCCGTAAAAGAAACTGCTTACAGCTAATACTATCACAGATCACCCTACTATAGAGCAATAGAGTTCTTCACTAAATAGATAAAAATTTACTTATGCTCAACGAAGATTCCTAATATAAAAATGTCACCACATTTCACACCAAAAGCAAACCACACTGTTCCGTCTCATCGTCAGCAAAAAGAATACATTATRTTCTGTGTAGTGAAAATATTTCATCTACAAATATCCCTGCAAGAAATTGGAATAGAATTCTACTCCTTCTGCCTAATGTTTTATTAGGGGGCTGAATATACCTGTCTACATTCCTGCTAGTAAACTAAAACAGGTTAGGCCACTTTTGCTGTTACACTTGTCACCTGCCAGCAGGTCACAGAGTCACTTGGGACCAGATTATCAGCACCACCCCATGTACACATAAACCAAGGTCACATAAACCAAGTTCAATCAGAATTATTAATGACTAGTAATATACCCCACARATTGCTATATGTTTCTGAACCACAGTAACAGATTCTCCATTTCAGAATCAATACTTGGGTTATGTGCATAACACTAAGAAAAAAGCATCTGCAGTTGCCAGTGTACACCTAATATTGTGAGCTGCAAACACAAGAAAGGGTTCCTATTCTATTTGTAATTTTAGCAGAAATACCATACAAGATCCTCAAACTCTTATGTGGGTTAATTAAAAAAATTACTGGGTCAAACCTACGAGAGACCTCCAATGAGTTGATATTCACATTTTTTGTAATACCAGGAATTTCGGTTTCCAGGCTTTGCTTTACAGGATAATAATACTTAAAAGCACCTTTTGACTTCTGTGGTTCAGGATAGGCAAGTACCATTATCTGTAT